TCGACCGCGGTGGTCACGGCGGTCGACCGCGAACGTGTACGAAACAGGAAAAATCTCTGGACTTTTTCTGGTCGACCGCAGCAGATGGTCCGATCGATCGCGAGACCCTATAGGTGTTTTTTGGGTTTCTGTCATTTATCCGGTCGACTGCAACTGGTTTGGCGGTCGATCGCGAGTCGAGCTGGCAGTTTCCTAAACTGTTTTGGATTCTGTTTTGATTCAGATTGCTATATATACCCAAACGTTTTTTAGGGTTTATAGACTATTAAAACTATCAGAAAGAAAGCTTTTGAGAGAGAGAATCTCAGAGAGATTAAACCCTAGTTTGAGTGCTTGTATTCCTTCTTTAATTAATCAAAAAAATTATGTGGTGTGGCTCCCGAGGAAGTAGGTATGTTGTCGAACATCGTTAAATCTGTGTGTTCGTCTTTTTTACCTTTCTTGCAAGTTTTGATCTTTATTTGTGGTGAATTTTTTTCTTGTTCAACTCTCAAATTCAAGATCCGAAAGGGTACGAATTCAATTTGGTTGTTTTGAATCTTTAATAGTTGGTATCAGAGCTTCGTTTAGCAAATTTGTGAGAAAGAGAGCCATGACAGAGGAAATTAAATCTAAAATCGAGAAGTTTGACGGTTCAGACTTCGTCTACTGTAAGTCGCAGATGGAGGAATATTTGTACCACAAGGACTTGTATCGTCTGTTGATATTCAAGGATAAGGGACAGAAGAAAGAAGACTCAGACGATGATTGTGAGATACTGGATAGGAAGACTTTAGGATAAATTCGGTTGTCGCTCGCCAAGACAGTAGCCCATAACATATTAAAGGAGAAGATGACGGTAGGGCTTATGGAAATGCTCTCGAAGATGTACGAGCAACCGTCTGCAGCAAACAAAGTGCATCTAGTCAAAATTTTTTTTAACCTCAAGATATCAGAAGGACGGTCCTTCACAATGCATCTCAGCGAGTTTAATACGATTGTTGATCAGCTTATCTCCATAGGTATCACGTTTGATGACGAAGTGCAGGTTCTATTGTTGCTATCGTAGTTGTCGGATAGTTAGGCAGGTTGTGTGATGACAATCAACAATTCAATGGGGAAGGAAAAGTTAAAGCTGAGTGAGGTGGTCAATATGATTCTATCCGAGGAGGTTAGAAGAAAATCGTCCGAATCAGAAGGTTTAGGTTCAGCTCTAAGTTTTGAGCAGATACAAAAGCCAGAAGAAAAGAAACCAGAACAGGAATTGGTCGAAGTCGAAGAAGAGGTCAAGCTCGAAGGTTAAGCCTATCAAAAGGAAATATTAAAACTGCGGCTAGGAGGACCATATGTCTTCAGTCTGTAAAAGTCTAAAGAAAGATGCGGGTGAGCAGGAGGCTCATATCATGCAGGATGCTTTGATTCTTGTTATGGATAGTGATTCAGATTCTTAGGTCATCGACTCAGGAGCCTCTTTCCATGATACTGCTAGTAAGAAGCTTCTTTAGAATTATGTAGCAGAGGACTTTGAAAAAGTGTATTTGGGGGACAATGAGCCATGTAATATTATTGGAAAGGATGACGTTTAGATTCAGATGAAGGGTTCTAAGTAGAACATAAAGAACGTGAGACACGTACCGAAGCTGAAGAGAAATCTTATTTCGGTAGGATAACTTGGAGCAGAAGGATACGTTTCGACATTCACTGGGGATTCGTGGAGAATCTTCAATGGTACGATGGTTGTTGCCCGAAGCAACAAAACAAGAACATTCTACCGCACCTCACATGCGAGTGACACCCTTGTAATTGCAGCTAACAAAGAGAGTACAGATCTGTGGCACAACAGGTTGGGACACATGAACGAGAAGGGAATAAATTCTACATTCACAGGGAAAGCTAATAGGGATCGATTCCGTGGAAGTCGGGTTTGTGAAGACTGTATCTTTAGGAAGCATAAGAGGGTTAGTTTCTAAAAGGATGGAAGGCCACCTAAGGCTCAGAAGCTTAAGTTGATTCATACAGATGTATGTGGTTCAGCTAGTGTGTCTTCTTTTGATGGTTCGAGATACTATATCACCTTTATCGACGATCACTCGAGGAAGATGTGAGTTTACTTTATGAAGCACAAGTAAGAGGTGTTCAGAGTCTTCAAGAAATGGAAGGCTATGGTGGAGAACGAGACAGATCTGAAGGTGAAGTGTTTAAAATCAGACAATGATGAGAATACGAGCTGGAGGAGTTTAAGAGGTTTTGTGCTACGAATGGTATTTGCTTAGAGAGGACTACTCCAGGGACGTCGTAGTAAAACGATATTGCAAAGAGGATGAACAGAACATTGACGGGGCGTGCCAGGAGCATGCGATTATATGCAGGTCTGCTTAAAACATTTTGGACGGATGCGGTGCATACGACGGCTTACCTTGTTAATCATAGGCCATCAGTTTTATTAGATTTTGGGATTCCAAGGAGGTTTGGAGTGGCAGAAAGGTTAATCTCTTATACTTGCGGGTATTTGACTTCGTCTAAGTTGCATGGAAACGGGCACGGGTACTGGTACGGGTGCGGGTACGAGTAGGGGACACGACAAAATTATAAAATGTTGGGTACATGGACACGACTATATATATATATATTGAATTAATAATGTACATGAGAATTTTTTTCCGCTTCATGTGTCATTAGAATTAAAATTTCGATCACATTTTTGAGTTTATTTTATCATATTGATTATCGTGAATTGTAAACTACTCATTTTTTTACTAGACATCTAAACGACCCATTAACTACATATTTTTAAACTTGGGTATGGACTGAAACGAACCCTACCCGTATTCCATTAGTTTCAAAAGACGGATGTGAAGTGTAAGCTCTACGTCCAGGAAGTTTTTGACAAGTGTTTTAAATTAACACATATATCGTCTAATTGAGTACATGTTGTAATAAATGCATGCATATATTCAAGAAGTGTCCATGAAGTTTGGGTACGGGAAAGTGTCGGGTACGTGTCCGGTACGGGTACGGCTTCAATAATGAAGTATCCGGGAAACATAGGACTGCGTGGTTCATGTTCATATTAGTGACCATGTCAGAGACAAACTAGAAGCTAAGTCACAAAAGTGTACATTCATTGGGTATGGTATTGATGAGTTCGTGTATCATCTTTGGGATGAGAAGAACAAGAAGATCATCAGGAGCCGTGACGTCATATTTAATGAAGAAGTGATGTATAAGGACATGAAAAATGCCAAGGATAGACAAAGCAGTGAGAGCAGCACTTCGGATGCAGATGGATCTGAGTACATGGATTTAAAGGAACTTCCAGATAGAGGCATCATAGAGGTGATGCTGATTGTTCTGACCGAAGAACGGAGGAGATTCCAGGTGCAGAAGCAACTACTCAGGACGTGGAGCTTAGGAGGTCATCAATGGTACCCAAAACAAATCCTAGATATCTTTCATCTCTTGATTAATTATTATTGACAGATAGCGGTAAACCGGAATGCTATGAGGAGGCTGTGCAAGTGAATGAATCTCAGCAACGAGAGCATGCGATGTAGGAGGAGATGAATTCTCTACTCACTAACAAGACATAAGAGTTAGCCCAATTACCTGCACAAAAGAAAGCCTTACATAACAAATGAGTCTACCGAGTCAAACGAGAGAGTGATGAAAGTAAGAGGTACAAGGCTAGATTAGTTATAAAGGGGTTCCAGTAGCGGGATGGAGTGGACTACACATAGATATTTTTATCTGTTGCAAAGCTCACAACCAACAAAGTGGTGTTGAGCTTGGTAGCTGCAGAATAGGGCTGGTAAACGACCGAATTTGAGCGAATATCTTGCTATTCGAGCTCGAATTCAACCCTAATCCACATGTTCAAATTCGTGTTCATATTCGGCTCGGAGACTTAATATTATTCGAATTCGATTTGAGAACTTATATCAGCATTCAGTAAGTACTAGCGAATATTCGTTTAGAAACTAATTTCAGTCAAAATAAAAAAATGAAAATTTTTAAACTTTATATTACATGGATGGTAGATTGGGGTGGTTGAGGACACGCCGGAGGGGGATGAGAGCTTCGAGACTCGAGAGGAAGAGCATCGACGGAGAAGGAGACTGCCGACGGTCGAATAGACTGTCGAAGACAAGTGAGGGCTGAGCGGAGGGGCGGATCTTGGACAGAAGAGTCGGAGACAAGTGGCCGAGCGGCTGAGCGAAGACGGCGGATCTCGAAGACGATCGTCAGAGTGGTTGAGCGGCTGAGCGGATCTCAAAGATGTGAGGAGAGAGCCTAACCCTAGAGTCAGGGTCTGGAGTGAAGGGTGGCGGCTAAGAAAATGGAAAAGCCCTAGCTCTAAACTAAATCCCCTCTTGAGTATTTATATAGGTTACATTTGTATATAAAAAATTAGATAAGTAGTATTTGCAAAAAAGTTTAATTAATAGGACTTAGATGTAAAAAGATATAAAAAGTTATCGAATAGTTAATAATCAATCGAATCGAACATACATTTGGTTAAATTCTATTTGTTTATAAATCAAATATCTAAAAAATATTTATTTATTACTAAATGAACTATCGAATCGAACTTGATCGAATATCTGGCCGAATAATAACCAAATTGTTTATTAAGTATTCGGTTCACTTCCACCCCTACTGCAGAAGACCTCTTCCTTGAGCAGTTAGATGTGAAAACTGTCTTTCTTCATGATGATTTGGATGAAAAAATTTACATGAAGCAACCTATTGGCTTCCTTGAAGAAGGAAAGAAAGAGATGGTGTGTAAACTCAAGAAAAGCTTGTACGGTTTGAAACAGGTTCCGGGACAGTGGTACAAGAAGTTTGACAATTTCATGCAGAGAAATGGCTACAGAAGATATAATTCGGATCATTGCTGTTATTTCAAAAGGTTCGAGTCCAGCTTTATTATATTGTTATTATATGTTGATGATATGTTAGTAGCAGGACCGTGTTTAGAGGAGATAAATACTTTGAAGAAGTAGCTAGCAAAGGAGTTTGTAATGAAAGATCTGGGTGCAGCGAAGCAGATTCTAGGGATGCGAATCAGTAAGGATGAAGTTGAAGGGATGTTGAGGTTGAGCCAAGCTGAATATATCAAGAAGGTACTTCAGAGATTTAATATACAGAATGCTAAGGTTGTTAGCACATCCCTTGGAAGCCAGTTCAAGTTATCTAAGGAGCAATCACCTAAGACAGATACAGAGAGAGGGCATATGAGTATGGTGTCATATTCTTCGGTCATTGGGAGTCTCATGTATGCGATGGTTTGCACGAGGTCGGACGTTGCCCATACAGTGGGAGTTATGAGCAGATTAGCAAGCAATCCAGGGAAACATTGAAAGGTCGTGAAGTGGATATTGCTGTACCCGAGAGGGACAACGAACAAACCACTATGTTTCAGGAGGAAGGAGTTAGTGTTGCAAGGATAGGTGGATGCGGACTTCGTCGATGATTATGAAATAAGGTGTAGCACCACGAGTTATGTTTACACTTTGGTGTCAACAGCAGTGAGTTGAGTCTCACGTCTGCAAAAGATTATAACTTTATCTACAACCGAGGCTGAGTATGTCGCGGTGACTGAAGCAAGCAAGGAGATGATTTGGTTGGCTGGATGTTTGGAAGAGTTGGATCTGCAGCAAGAGAGAGTTCTTTATTGTGATAGCCAGAGTACTATACACCTTGCCAAGAATCCAATATATCACGCCAGAACGAAGCACATCGACGTACGATATCATTTTATACGCTAGTTGATCGAGGACAGAAAGTTACATTTAAAGAAGATTTTGTGGAGTCAAAATCTGACGGACATGTTGACGAAGACAGTCACCATAGAGAAGCTGGAGTTGTGCGCAATTTCAGTTGGTCTTCACGTGTAGAAGATAAAGGTGGAGCCACACTAGGATGATCGGCGAGATTGCCGGGATGATGATGATTGAAGAAAGGATTTTTTCGGGGAGGAGAAGATACTTGCGAAGGAGAGAGTTCGTGAGAGCTCGTTGATGACGCTTTGGTCTCCAAGTGGGAGATTGTTAGTCTAAGTGTAGACCCAAAGCTGAAGTCGAAGCTGGAATCAGGAAGACGAAGTAAAATGAAGGAAACAGGAAAATCGCAGGGCGGTCGATCGCGGTGCTCTCG